CCCCCCCCCCCCCTTCACTCTGTTGTCTCACTTTTGTAAAATGAGAAGGCCATTAAGAGCGGTCACATGAATGATCGTTCAGTGTTGTTTACATAATTACACTATATCCTTAATGATGAAATACCTCTAGGTGATGTCATTTCTAGGCGTGTTCTTGCTCTAAGAAAACTTAAGAATGCGCACTGTCCCTCCACCGTCCATCTCCAAACCGTCAGAATTGCTCTCTACAAACCACGGCCTGTAAGGAATTGGTGTCCCCTACAGTCCACATGTTTGGAGCACTCAGTGCAGGGACAGCATGAGGCCCTGTGCAGCATGGAGAGTGTGATGTGAGGCTGCAGACAGCGAAGCAAGCTCCAGATTCCAGGTTTCACGCTGTAGCATCTACTCAATATAGACACAAACTATTCTGAATCTGAAATGACTCCCATTTCATTTTCTTTGCTGAGTGAGTTTACGGCAATGCCACTTTGCAGGTATATGTGCTCCCTTTACCTGTGGGCACAGTGAGAGTCCTGGACAGGAAGACGTGGTCTGGCAGTGGAGATGAGAGGGGCACATAAATAGTCATGGCAAACAGTGACCGATAATCTCTGCGCATGACAGTAACTGATTCATTCCCTGCTTTTCTCCTGCTCTGTTCTTACCCCAGAGAGCTGCATTCCCAGGGACCTTTGCCCTCTGGTTTCTAGGGAGTGAGTCTCCCACGTGGCTCCAGCTCCTCACACAGACCCTCTCTCTGGGGTCCCAGCAGCCTCACTCTCTCTCAGTAGAAGCTCTGGCTTCTGAGCTCTGGCAACATTGCCTTCTCCCATTTTCACTCTAGCCTAAAGGTTGGTAGGTAGGTGCTGCTTTCCACTGTTGGTGACCCTCTTGTTTTTCTCATTACCCTGTTTGGTATCTGAGCAATATTTCTCTTTATTCAACACTCTCTATAAGAGCTAGTCATTTCTTTTCTCCCGACTGGTCTCTGATATACCAAGTGATTTTTATCCCTTAAACACTTCATGTGCGTTACCTGATTTAATCCCTCCACAATTGAGTTAGAAGATAATATCCCCACATTCTACAGATGAGAAAACTGAAACTTAGATGTTAAATGACAAGATCAGATAGCAATAAGAGCAGAGTAGAGCCCCTCGGCGGTCTGACTCAGGCCAGCGCAGTCACACCTGTGCTGTGAGAGCCTCTCAGTGGAAAATGCACTAGGAAGTTCAAGGAGAAGTTCACCGGTCACTCTTCC